GTTATTGCACATTTTGCACCTTTGGTGGTTCTTTTGCCGAAAATCGTAGCGTGAAAAGCTCCTACCGAGAACTGAGCAGAAGCATTCCCGTTATTACACTTGGCGACAGAGATGACGAGGTTGATAAAGATAGTGGTAATTCAATGATAATTGATCCATGATAGAGATGCTTTATGTCAGTAAACCAGAGTCATCCCAGTGGCATTGCTGATAGACAAATTCTCCGCACTATTATTGGCCGCTAATTTGGTGGCTAATCCTAATGTTGGCGACCTAATCGATATATTAGGGCGATTCAAACTTGTGTACGAAAAGCAGGCGATTGAGCGAAAACCAAGTTCGTCAAACTGTGAACCATATCCAAACCCTGGCAATCACAGTAAATCGGTGAAGGAAATTAAATTGAGTCCTTTTAAAAACTTAGTTTCCCTAAAAAACACACTGGTCCCTCACGAATGACACACAATCACATCTTATATGGCGTCTTGTAATAAAAGGATTAGCATCTGATTGTTCAACGACCCAGTTCAATGTACACAAGCTCTACGGTAGCCTTGGACAGCTGTGGTAAACTAGTACATGCAAAGTGCGAAGGACACCTGTGTCAAATTGCTGTTCATGTTATTACCGATCAAGAGCATTGATCAACTTTCTCGTCGATTCCCGGTGCCTCGAAAACCAAACTGGGTGCTCTCCTAACCCAAAACTGACTCCTGGTGCTTCAACTTCAACGAAGTAACAGCCGCCTCTTTCTGTAACGAAAATGCTCAAGCTGCTCCCACCAAAAAGCAAACGAAAACAAGTCGGCTCTTGAACCGCCTGGTTTACTGCCAGTGAGGCATCGTTGCGCATCAGTTTTAGAGAAATGGCGAACTTCGGAAGTTTTTAGCACCTTAAAAAGATGCAAGTTTAACGGAAGTTTGATCCGTCACGAAAAGTCGCCATTTGTCAGGCACTGGCTGATGTCGATGGCTTTCCACTCAGTCATTCATTGGATATTCCTTGTTCAACTCCAATACCATCAACCGTTAAAAGCTAAAAGACTAACGCAATAATATGTAGGGCACATGTTACCTACTGCGCTGCAAGTAAAACTGCATGTGATCCCAAGTGATGTGGACCAAATCCCCCCTCCCATTGACTCACACTGTACCGTCCATTACTTTGATATTTAAAATTCCTCGCCTTTCTTCTGCCCCTATTTTTAATCCCCGCTCTACTTTTGTGTTTATTGCATGTGTATTAACTGGCATTTTCTATAGAGGAGAATATCGGTAGCTCGGGTAGCGTAGATGGTCGTTGGCTCGTTCGCTGAGCTGGGCAATTTGATTGCAAACGTTTCATCACCAATCGAGGTGACATCGTCACTGCAGGGTTGAGTGGGTGAATTCTCCCTCTTCTGCCCGTGATTATATAGCATCTAAAGAGTATCTGGTAGTTCTAAAGGCGGTCTTCGCCTAGTTTGATTGGCTCCTGTGAATTCTGATGTGGTCTCAATCTCCTGTGTCTGGTTGGTTCATTGGGCGCATTCAGTTCGACAGTTCCGTGTGTGGTTGTTCTCTTGTTTCCCCCCCCCCCGGCGCTTCTCGTATCACGCGTCACTCGAAGATATCGTTTAATTGTTACTCACACAAATCAAAACCTTGCATAGGACGGTTGCAATTATGACGTTAGTGGATTGTATCCCTTTAGAAACAGTGTGATTTTGGCCGGTCACGATGATGGGCGTTCTTTAGAACAAAAGCGTCACATCTGTTACTGCTTCCTTGCTAGATGGCGATAATATTTCGTGACAAAATACAATGTTTTGCTTTCCTAGTTGGTTTTTTTGCCAAGTGACACAAACCTGTCATCCGTAAAGATATAAAAAACAGAACTTGACGGCCTTTACTCAGGGTCTCATCACTACCATACAGCATTCGTACTACTGAACAGCTCGGACCATCAGTCCAAACAAAGCAAAATGTCAGTCGCCTGCGCACGAAAAATATCTAAACCAGATGCCGAAAACATTCAGTCAAGTCAGTCCTCTATCTGGAAAACATGTTCATATCTTTCGAAGATTTTTATCGAAAGAATATGCTTTTGCTGTGTACAGTGTTTAGCGGAAAGGGGGGAGGCCTCTTTACCTGAAAAAATCTTAGATAAAAAGCTCGTCACCTGGACGATAGTGTTACAATCAGCTGAACTGAAACAAAAAAGAAATGTGAAGGAGTGCTTGTGTTGGGAGGGCCCGTAATGGTTCAATGGTCATCCAAACAAACTCGTCTCAGTGAGGCTTGAAACCACCCTTCTCCTTGCGTTCTGCATTCTCCCTAGATTTTTTTGTTTCCAAATATGGCGGGGTGGATTGGTCACTCACACTGGAAGTGCAGTCAAGTGACTAATCCCTTAGCACTTAGTTTATTGATTATTTGAATAACTAGTGGTCACGCAGGTTGACGCGATCAGAAAACGGTTACATTTGCCAGGTTGGACGCCATAAATCCGAAAGTTGCATGAGTCAGTCCGGTTGAAAAGTGTCCTAAGACATTTTTCAGTCAAACTGAATTGTGTGTTGAACATTATTGATTTTGTTTTTTTTTACTTCGTTTGGATTATTTTCTATTGAACATTATTGAATTTAGTTTTTTTTTTACTTCGTTTGGATTTATTTTCTATTCAGCCAATATTCAGATCAACACTAATTTAGCGCACGAACCCCACCACGAATTGTCAAAATCACTCATCTTTGGATAGCATTCTCTAGTTTGTACAAGAGATAAATTTACCCATGACTTTCGAAACGTTATTTATCGATTGGGCAAAATTTCCCCATCATCTATTGTTTTAGTACTCAGCCGAGGACGCATCACGTGACACGCTTTTTGGCACACCGACAGGCTCAGATCACCAACAGCACATACCAAACTTATCCGAACGACTTAAAAGAAAATATTGATTTTTTGTCGACTGACTGCTGTTATTTATACATGGCACACACATCTTAAACAGGAGACTATCCTCAGTTCTCCCTCTCCACAGTAGAGGTCCGTCAAAGCCACAATCCGTAAAAAGAATCAGTTTTGTAAGTGCTGAAAATCTTCCTTGCCAGCTTCCCTTCGAAAAAAGCTTCCGTGATTCAATTCATTTGAAGTTTAAATTCTCCCAACCGGACAATCCTTCAGGCAGAAACTTTTTGTTCTCCACAGGCCGAGTTCATTTCCATCGCTAGATAAATGGGAGTGAACTGAGTTGTACTCATCCAAAACAACCCAATACCCTAAGAATGGTCGCTAGTAGTGACTGAGTGCAGCTCACTTGTTGGATCAATAAATTACATAGGATTGCTACTCCACAGAGCTATTTGTCTCCAGTCAGAGAGATAAAGTTGTTGTGTTGGAACACAGCAAGGGAGCGCTTGTGTTTCTTTCCTTTAAAAAGGGCGCCACAGGTGAACCATTATTTTTATTATTTGTAATACTGTGTAAGCCGTTGTTAACTACGGTGCTCAGTTCAAGATTAGCACAAAAAACATCGGAAGGAATTCTAACATGTCAGAAATAAGATTATCTATGCCTGGAAACTGAAGGAAAAACCGTCAGAGGTCTGTCGACTTGCGCACCGCAAACATTTTTCCGCGAGATTTTAGAAACACACGTATTTGCGTTGGCCACTGGGAAAAGTTTTCATCGCCTTATTTTATTTCGCTTACTTCTTGGATTCAGTATTCTCCAGCCGACTTTTTGTGGCATCGTCTCCAGGGATACCTGTCACGTAGGAAACATTGCATTTGCTTTAACTGGAAAAGGCAGGGGTGAATTTTGCAACTGCCAGGGAAGATTCTTGGTTTTGCAAGCGGCGGTGCTATAAACATCACTCTTTCAGACTGAACGTCCACCTGGCAAGCTGTTCATGTTTGAAGTATCAGACGGTCTCCAGTCTATCGATTTTTCTTCGCCAAAACGCCTCATCAGTGGTCACAAATTCAAATTCCAGAGTACTATTCTGCTTATCTGGTGTGAACACCCATTAACCGGACCAAATTGCACGGTTATTTCTGTCAATTTTTGGCCCTGTTAAGAAAACACGAACTTGGATAGTACAATAGGAGGGTTGATAGAATTGTTCGATTGATTGTGTCAAGTAACCGTGTACAGGAGGGAACAGCTGGACTGTCCAACCAAAGTTTTGCTATCTTGTTAAGCCAGGTATTGACAGGAAAGTTGCCGGACCCGTCCTATTGATTGATTTTGATTTATACGGCTTAGATTTCTCAAGCCCAATTGGAATCTTGTTTAGGTGGACAGTTCTTACACATTCATCTTCAGGTTACTTCTACAGATCTATTTTGCCAACATGGTGGACTACAAATCAACACGTACCACACAACCCATCCCTGCTGTCAGACACAAACACATAAACGAAAACTATCATAAAAAGTGAAAGTTTGGTGTAGGTAGTTTGAAAAAAAGAGAAGTTGAACTCTGAAGTTTGATGTTTAACTATGTGTCTTGCTGATGAGTCTCGGCTGTCAAAAGCAACTTGAGGTGTTTATGGACGCACGGGAGCTCTTCCACAAGGACTCAGTGATCGAGGAATTATATATATATATATATATATATATATATATATATATATATACCCACGAAGACAGCATCTTCATGACAAGTTATTTATTGAGCTATATTTGGTTAAGTTTATCTTACCAGATCACTCGTCTGAGATGCGTTTTTTTTCCTGATCTGTTGATCTCAATCGCCACCTACCTGTGTAGTTATGACCTTTTTCCATGATCAAGCAACCAAGCGTCTAGTTTCAATTCTGTCTACACAACGGTGGTCCGCCTACAGACAAAGATGCAATGTCATCTTCTCCTGTTGGCTTTGGTTACCGATTCAGTCAATCATTTCAACAACCTACACACACAGGAAAAAAAACACAGGAGCTATTGGTTTTTCGGCAAACAAATTCTCATCGATCCAGACGCACATGCACATTTCAAGAAGAAAAAAGCTTACCCACATGTCCACGCCAAGCGGCTGTTCTCAGAGCAGACCAGCCATCTTCGTCAAGTTGATTAGCATCCGCTCCGGCGTCCAACAAACTACACAGTTTTTCATGTTCGCCAAGACGAGCGGCCAAAACCAAGGAATGCTTTTTCGAAAACCCACTACGGTCATGCGGTGGATGGTGCGGGGTGAACGACTGTGTTTGTTCTGCAGGTGGTTCTGTCTGCAGTGAATCAGTAGTGCAGTTAGTGTAATAGTAGTATGCGCTAGATTCCATTTGTTTCACATCTGCCTCATGCCGGTCGCACTGAGTAGTGTTCACGTCGTGATCTGTCAGGCGTGAACCATAAGCATGCGTTTCTCGAGGCTGTGTAGTCTTTAGATTCGTTGTTTTCTTCCGATTTTGTACTTCAACTCCCAATGACCTTGATCGAATGGGAGGGGTGCTTTTGTCAGCTGCTTGGCGAATTATATCTTGTCCATTACTAGGGTTGCAGAGGTAAGCTGCCGTACAGTGTTTTACATCCGAAAGCCACTCGGCGAAACTTGGATGAAAGAAATGAATTTTACTGGTTCCTGATGGACAAGGCTTGGATGAGGCGGCAGTGTAGTAGTAGGAATGCTCTTCCTCAACACTCATGGTAACCAGAATTCTTCGAAGCATGTGCAATTGCTCGTAGAACTCCGAATAAGTCAGAGACGAGAAGACAGGAGAGAGAATATGGAAGACATCGTCCACACTCAGCGTTTCTCGGGAAGCCAACAAGACTTCGAGGATTGGACGAACTGAATCGAATTTCGCGGTATTGTCAGCTGGTACGTTTGATTGGAAAATTTGTTGACAAATCCACAAAAAAAGACCGTTCAATGTGCCCGGAATCAAAGCCAGTTGGTCCGGCCTAATCCAGAATTCACCAATGGCATCCAAGAGGGTTTCCAGGTAGAGAAGGCAAGCACTGCTTTTGATTCGGAGCAAACTCAAAACATCCGAATGCATGTAGGCCCGGAATGCTTGTTGCAATCCCTGCTCCACAGCCAGACGAGATAGAAGATATTGATGAACATCATGACTTACAGCAGATCGATGAAGGTCATCGATGGTGATGCGTCTGCTTCCCGGGAACATTCGGCTAATTATATTTCTGTTTTGTCGACGACAGGTGAACAGCAAACAAATCCACTCGGGGAAGAACTGGGCGTTATTAACAAATAAATCAAGGATCGATTTGCTGACCAAATCGGGAGGGTGAGCCGCTTGGTTCCCGTTTACCAAGCAAGTTCCGGAACGCCAATCAGAAACATCCAGGGCACGAGCACAATCCATTTCGTCAATTCCGTCTACGAGGATAACAAGTCGATTGACGCCGGGATAAATTATGCCCGACTGTGCGTGACCGAATTCCCCAGCAGTTGATATGTCTCGATGTCTGAATTGTCCCTCAAACAGAAAGGGAGTAATTTTGTGCAATGCGCTCAAAACACCGTATCGAAGTGCCGAATCCGGAGAGGCATAGACATTCGCCTCTGACAAATAACTACCCAGTTCACCCTCGTTCGCCTGAATCACACGACTATAGAGCTCACATAATGGTGCGGGCGAATTCAAAATTTGTTTGTGCATTGAAAGAACCAGTAGGGAAGGATCCAGGGTTGATTTGATCTGTTGATAACAGAAGTGTGATGATAACACATGGGCCGCAATCTGTACGCACAACGGCATTGACTGGATTGCGAGACCAGTTTGGGTCAGGTGATGAGCTTGTGACCGGGCGTCGATGATCCTCCGACATATTGTGGTTTTTCCGGATCCAGGTCCACCTACGATAACGATTATACGCAAGCGTTGGCAAGCCGCTCCTGACGACGCTCTGTGTATGGATTCCGAAAGCACGGTCCCCGTTTCTGTCACCGTATCGAGTTCATCCATGTTCGAAAGGAGCTTTGGCACGGTTTCTTGACCACTTGGACGTAGATGTTTCAACAGCTTCTCGAATATCCATTCACGACTATAAAATATCCGTTTCCGCAGTGGAGGCAGTGCTGATCTGAGTTGGCCTGTTGGGGAACTGTTGCCTTGTCTATTGTTGTTACTACTGGAAAATCCTTCTGATTCCAAACTGACCGAGGAGTCGGCATTGGAAACTGGCTGTTCGATTGCGTAAACTTCAGTGGCTTTTAGCTGCCCAGTATCCGTGTACACTGGTTTTTCATCTTCGGTGGCCGTCGAAAAATCAATGCCTACCGTAGTACCACTTGTCTGATTTAGGACGGAGCCCAGTGCATGATTCCAGACTTCACTTTCATTCCGTCCAGGTATTATCTGACTTGGGGCAGAGCACGTTTTCTTCAGTAGTTTCCGGTCCACCACAAGCTGAGCATCATCCGAACTCAGACAGCAGTCATCACTGTCGTTATGCCTGAGATACTTTCCTTGTGACTTAAGAAGTTCGCTCTGCGGACGTGGTCTGCGGCACATTTGATCCATAGCGAGGATAATTTCAAAAATATTCCATTAAAATCCAAAAAGAATTGATATGCTGTGCCACTGAAGCTCCGCAGATGTCCGAACAAACATCAACCCAGTCTATCGAAAAAGTAAATCCGTTGTCCGGGCTACTGAAACTTTGGGCAATTCATGCCGATATTTGCGTACTGTTCAATCTTTACTGTGTGCGTGAAGGAAAACGTGTGGTTTGGTTCTGGTCGATAGCCAATCCAATCAACGAATCAGATGGGCCGGCAAACATTGACCAATCACATTCATTGTAGCTGTTGCTTCATCGGACGAACAAGCAGTGTAGTCTGTTTCGCGTGCAGTGAAATAAATCGTACAAAAATGTGACGCGAATGCCCCGATCACGAGTGATAGTTGTTGAGTCTGCGATGGGCAACAGGTAACATCTGACTGCGATTCAGACGGTAGTTTACTGTCTGGGGAAAAGACGTCCAATTTGCTGCGACAGGATACAGATTCCCTTAAATGAGTGAGAATTTGCTATATATATGCCACTAATGAAGATGGTCTTAACTAACAGTAACCGTGCTTTCGCTTACAGGATGCCAGACAATGGATTCCAAAAGTGTATCGGTTTACGTGGGCGGTAAAACTCGGTTTGGAGCTCATTCCCCCAGCGGCCTTTGAACTTACACGATTGCAAACAACCAGATTACAGCCCAGTCGTCATTACCACTTATGTTTCTGACGTTGCGAACGGTGGTAAGAGAATTTGGGCTCTCAGTCTGCTTATAAAACGGCCAGCTACTTGCATGTTATTGCCACTGCTAAGAAGAGGAAAGTTGGCCTACGTACACAGACATACCTACTCCGACTGAGTGGAACGCCAATTCGACGACCCAGGTTCGAACCCCACATGACTGGCTTCATAATTGGCTGCAGGCCCACGTCATGATAATCCATACACATGTAGTTTCAGAACTGAAGCCGGATGCAATGGAAAAAGAACCCAAAGGAGACGAAAACGGTGATACGAGTTGCAAAGTCAAGACTGTGCGCATATGTACACAAGGGTTGATGTCTGGTGGTCCCTGGGGGTGGTTGCGATGGGCGCATAGTTGAGTGATAAGGAGGTAGTGGATCGCGATTGCCATTAGTTTGAAAGAACCGCAGTCATTCTCTCATACGCACTACGTTTAGGGGTGTGGGCTACGCCATACTCTATGATAGTTTTCCCAGTTACCTCCTCCTCTAATGTAGATCACACATCAACTGTCAAAAAATGTTCTGAGTTAAAATAAATGGGCTTCGAGGCCACAGTAATAAATATTTCCGCAAAACAAGCTATCGCGCCAAGTGCTATCTGTTCCAGGCAGCTAGAGGGCACTGAAATATCACCTTCCGATATTCTGCTAGGAAGGGAACCTACGGCCAACAGATAATGAACAGTTGTCAAAAAATACATAATTTGACGTGGCTTTCCTATGAACAGGCCAGTCTGTACCGCGTGCCCAGAGAGTAAGCATTGGGGGTAGTTAGATCGTGCTATTTGTCCAACTGAGTTGACCCTCATAACCCGCGCATGCCTGCATCGCCGTCACATCGAGTTGGCTGACCAGTCACATTAAGAACTCGGCCACCAATGACCTTGAGTTGCTGTCTGGGCATGCTACTGTCTGCAGTGCAGGGTAATGCCATAAACGCGATGCAACGAGCTCATTTACGATCGAGTAGTAACAATCATCGCCCAGCAATGGGAAAAAAGGTGCAAAATTCGGTGTCAGTGACGTGGCGATCGATCAGTTTCCCTTGTGTCAACTTGCTCCTGGTGAATTTACTGGTGGTGAATGTTAGTTTTGGCGATGACAGACTTGAGTGAGGTAAAAGAGCTGATCCATCACAGTGTGAGCAATCACTTTCTTCAGAAGTGACACTATGAATTGGTCACCTTCGTCTTCTTGTGTTCTTCAGTGAGAGAAGATGGACGGTACTTGGAAGCAAGCGAAAGTTGCGACAGCACGCCCTATTGATGGTTGAACTTGAGGTATCAGACTTGGAAGAAAAGTCTGTATTTAGATTACAGTAGGTGCGAGCTCAACAACGAAAAAAAGATCAATACCTAAACGTTTAAGAGCGATTTCCACTTTTGACAACTGTGCTACACGACCATCCTGTCAAAACGGGGATAAACCTTCAACCAATTAAGATTATTTGGAGAGATAGATGGAACGTTTATTGGTGCTTACGATTCCGAACCTGATGTCTCAGCTGACGAACGGATCGATCAGTGAGGCTGAAGTACGCCAAACGCTTACCGAAAGAAATAATTCGCTCACAATCGCTGAGCTGATCACATTCTGTAACTTTGGCTGGCTTGGTCACATGACCCGTATGCAAGTTAACCGACTTTCACGAAGAGTCCTTTTCGGACAGTCATGCGAGAGGTAGAAACGAGCCAGGGGCAAAAAAAAAATGACTTAGCAGCAAACTCGGCTGCGTTGGTTCCTGCCATCTCTTTGAATAGGATTTTCAGAGGGGAAACATCAGTGATTAGAAACGTAGAAGGGCATGACCCAGTCGTGCGCGTGTATCTAAGCTATTGCGTTTAATATACAGCTTTCCCAATGACAACCCTTTATCGTCATCTACGGCCACCAATGCATAGTTATCCACCCCACCCCATCAGAACGTTGGCGAACGAAATCGTCGCAGCTTTAATGACCGTGCAACAAGTAAGCGGCTTGAACCCGATCCGCTTCTACGAGAGCGTGGTTGGCCAGTGCAAGAAGGCCAGGATCGGTGGAAAATACATAGCACTGGTTGGTGATTTCAGACAGACTGTGTGTGATTTAACAGCTGTAACATTATGTTAACAACTTCTTGCATCAGCTACTGCCGGTTGATCTTCTGTACACACTTACCCTTCATCTATCGTGTGCGCGAGAATACAATTGTCTTTTTCGTTGAGCCGATGATGTCACCTCGATTGGTGATGAAACGTTTGCAACCAAATTTCCCAGCTCAGCGAACAAGCCAACGACCATCTACGCTACCTGAGCCACCGACATTCTCCTGTATAAAATTGTCTGCATCAACATTCCAAGTGAAAATTCCTTTTGTTCTACTCCAGAACATATCCACGAATATGTGGAATCTTCTTGTTTATGTTTGCCTTCGCTCGCAACCGCCAGGCCAAACCGAAGTTTACAAGATTTCCTGTTATGATCATCATCATCATCATCATCATCATCATCATCCCACTCCGTCACCAATCTTTTATATCTAGCGATTCGCTAATTTGTGGTATCTGCTGCTGACCCGCTCCAGTGCCTAGTGCCGAAAAAACCGTATGCAAGTTAACCGACTTTCACGAAGAGTCCTTTTCGGACAGTCATGCGAGAGGTAGAAACGAGCCAGGGGAGGTCAAAAAATGACTTAGCAGCAAACTCGGCTGCGTTGGTTCCTGCCATCTCTTTGAATAGGATTTTCAGAGGGGAAACATCAGTGATTAGAAACGTAGAAGGGCATGACCCAGTCGTGCGCGTGTATCTAAGCTATTGCGTTTAATATACAGCTTTCCCAATGACAACCCTTTATCGTCATCTACGGCCACCAATGCATAGTTATCCACCCCACCCCATCAGAACGTTGGCGAACGAAATCGTCGCAGCTTTAATGACCGTGCAACAAGTAAGCGGCTTGAACCCGATCCGCTTCTACGAGAGCGTGGTTGGCCAGTGCAAGAAGGCCAGGATCGGTGGAAAATACATAGCACTGGTTGGTGATTTCAGACAGACTGTGTGTGATTTAACAGCTGTAACATTATGTTAACAACTTCTTGCATCAGCTACTGCCGGTTGATCTTCTGTACACACTTACCCTTCATCTATCGTGTGCGCGAGAATACAATTATCTTTTTCGTTGAGCCGATGATGTCACCTCGATTGGTGATGAAACGTTTGCAACCAAATTTCCCAGCTCAGCGAACAAGCCAACGACCATCTACGCTACCTGAGCCACCGACATTCTCCTGTATAAAATTGTCTGCATCAACATTCCAAGTGAAAATTCCTTTTGTTCTACTCCAGAACATATCCACGAATATGTGGAATCTTCTTGTTTATGTTTGCCTTCGCTCGCAACCGCCAGGCCAAACCGAAGTTTACAAGATTTCCTGTTATGATCATCATCATCATCATCATCATCATCATCATCATCATCCCACTCCGTCACCAATCTTTTATATCTAGCGATTCGCTAATCTGTGGTATCTGCTGCTGACCCGCTCCAGTGCCTAGTTGCCGAAAAAAGACTCACAGAAGGGAACACAACAGCTATATTCCGAACAGGTGAGTGCGAGTGCAAAAGTTACAACGGCCCTCTATTTAAAGAGGACTTTCTGACATTGATCCAGGCTGTCCGATAGGCGTTAGTGAACACCCATCAACATCGATCGTGCCTATACGAAACGCCTAAATGGTGATCACATTCGGTCGTGCTTCTTTGGCGTGCATGAACACTCATCAGCTTTTGCTGAATTGATTGAATGATTGATTGGCCTGGATGCTTGCCGGCGTTCCTGTTGAGATTTTGGTGGAGCAGTAGGTTCCGGGCGTTCTGAGGTTACTTTCAGGAATCTGACCTTCCTGATAGACAGCAATGCCACACTGATGCTTTACTGTCATATAACCATATAAAGGTATTTAAATAAGGCTCGCTGAAGGAACCGGCTAGTCAATAACAAAACATCTACATCTCCAGTACTCAGCCAGTCAGACTGGATATATAGGAATGAGTTCCACTGATATCGGTTAGCCACCATATCTTTCAGTGAATAGACGATCCATTGGCTTATTGAAGAAAGATAGAAATCATGGCCTGTGGTTCGTCTTCAAACATCGCTGATTACAGCATATGTGAGTTATGTTGCATTTTTTGGTTCAACATAGCCATGAGTAGCCTTAAAAAGTATGTAGTAGTATTGGTCCTTCCCTTACAGTGGATTTTCGCCGCTTGTCTCAAAAGGACAGACTGCTGTCTGGATGGGAGATTTTTCTAACCTTTCACAATAGGCTGCCAATGCACCATCCCTGGTCGAGTAGAAAGTAATGTCCATCTACGAGAACGGCGCTTACGGACACCACAAACCAAATGCCGCTCTGAGGAGCTTGCTGTTACTGCTGACTATTCGCCAT